CGAAGCAATCCCTCATGCGAATGAGCATAAATGTTATGAAACTCGTTCACATCCATCTTAGATTCATGCTTGGGGTTTGAAGGAGTGAGGGCAGTTAACACCGAACCAACAGATTCATCTTCAAGACGATACGCAGTCTTAATTAGCATGCCATCGAAGCTCTGAAAAATAGTATGTCCGTCGAAAACAGTCATCACACCATCAGGACCACCAAGCAAGGTAATTCCATGACTCACCACCAATCTGCGCTGGGAGAAAAGAGGTGATATCCCAAGTTGGGAGATTACAATACATTCTCCAACTCTACAGAAACTCAAATCAGCAGTCACAAACACCAACTCCAAGGTTCCAGACAGTGCTCTGGCTCAAGGGTAGAAAGTGATTTTTCAACACTCGAAATGCCTTGCTGGGGAAACCTGCATGCCTAGCCATGGTTTTGAGAGAGTTCTTCAAACAGTCGAACAAAATCCACCTTGATATCTCAGTCTGGCACAGCACACCCATGTATGTTGTATCCTTTCTCTTACCCAGGGGGTCAGATCGAATTCAATGCTTGCAATCGAAATCTCTACATGTAGCACAGAAACAAAAGCCTCATACAGATTATTGTTGTGGGCACTCAGTAGAAACAATTGTGACCACGACGGATACGACACGTCCGTCCCGTCAAAAACAGAAGCTTTGGGAACTTTGAAAAGGACTCCTACCCAAGTTTTCTCCTGTGTTATTAATGCCGACCCCAGGAATATATGTGTTTCCACTGGCGACACATCCCCACCACTCACTCGATGGAGTAGATGGGGGCGGAATGGAAGACTGGCTACCTAAAGCCCCACTAACCATTCCCGGAATGGAAGACTGACTACCTAAAGTCCCACTAACCATTCCCGAACCGAAAGACTGGCTACTACCCGAAGCCCCACTAACAGTTCCAATCGAACCAAAGCTTGCAGCACCAGCAGAGGGACGATTTACAGCAGATGCATGAGGGTTCAAGTCTGAGTCTAGAAGACTACTACTCCCAACTCTCACGCTGGACATGCCAAGGACTTGGGCACTGCTGCACTGCTGCCCTTACCTCCCGCAGTCCTGCCAGTAGCATCTACAGGATGCCAACCGGCGTCGGTTCCGCCGCTGGCTCTACCACCAGCAGAGGAACGACAAACAACAATTGCACGAAGGTTCAAGCCTGAGTCTGCAAGACTACTACTCCCAACCCACATGCTGGACATGCCAAAGCCTTGGACACTACTGTCCGTACCTCCCACAGTCCTGCCAGTGACATCCGATTGATGCACACCAGCATACTCTGTTCCGCCGCTTCCCGGCGCAGCAGCAAATGAAACAGAGGACTCCACCTGATCACCTCGTTGCCCAACAAGCGACTTGATTATGCTCGTGAGCTGGGACAACAGTGTCTCAATCGAATCCAGTCTCTCACCACCAATAACATCCTGCGAATAACCCGGAGGTGGGTCATCCAACATGATCCCCAGCAGGCCCACTCATCACGAAGCAAGGTGATCAATCTTCCTCCGTTCAGTCTTGACGTACAGTCCAAGGGGACAAGCAGCAGTCGACTGGTTCGCTATAGCGTGTTGGTAAACTCGTGGCTTCTGGGGAAAGATGTTGTATTGATGAGACCTTGGACCAGGAGAACAGGTCAAAACGTGGAGTGAGCTGGGTGCGCGAGCACCGCAGCATCAGCCATGTCGCTCGACCAACACACAAAACATGGAACTCGGACCAATGTACTATCCGACATACCGAGAACACGCTCGGGTCTATGAACCATCCGACATACCGAGAACACCATCCACGAAGAACATTCCTAGAAACATTCCTACCAAACGACAGTCCCGTTATTTGAACTTCCTGTTAGTGTTCTGCGCTACTTGTCGACACACAGCAGCAATAATCACGAACAAAGGTCAGCAGTAGTCTGCCATTCTGGTTTTTTAGCTCATCACGCCCGTGTATCCCCATGACGCCCTCGTCTTCCCCACATCCATCCTCTCTCCGGTCCGAGCATTGGCGTCCATCAGGATATACACATATACACGCACTCTTTGGAGGGAATCCTCTGCACGAGACCGTCAAGTTTTCCCCAGAACTCTGTCTTGCTGTCAGCAGCAGCGACCTCGGTTGGGGCGTACGCAGCAACGAAGTTGATAGCTCCGCGGTGGCCCGTCATCTCAAACCTCATGGCCATGAGGCGTTCATCGACATAGTTCGTGGTGAAAGTGGAGGTCTTGCACAGTGACTCTTTAACAGCTACATTCCCACACCATGGATATTACGCTTCTCCGTACCACACACAGCAGAACACTCGGAAACCCGCTGCTGGGAACTCCGTTTGACCTGGCCTCCTGGTCTCCTGTAGCCTTACCACCGATACATCTTGCTTCGCTGCCTCGTGTAGGATGCTGAAGGTTCGCCCGTACCCATTCTTCTCCCGTTTACAGCCAGAGTCCGCACATTCCAGGTTGCTACCCTAAGAAGTCGACCCTGCTGTCTCTCTCGGGCGGTACGCGCTGCTCTCTTAGCCAGCCTACGCTTCGCCCGTCCCCTCCTTTTCCTCCTTCTTCTTCGTGCCCTCTTTTTTTTTGTCATTGTTCATATTTTTGCGGGCTCTCGGGCCTACGTACAAGTTACCCCGGTGTGCTTGCCTTTTGTCCCAGCGAGTTGTCTTGTCCCGGAGCGGTGCGGCCCTCCAGCTCTGGACCCCCTCCTTTCCCCTCCCTGGTGCATACCCCCACGGTGGTTACCGTGTTCTCTGCTGCTGCATGGCCCCCGTGTCCAAGCCGGGGCGTCTGGATTCAGTCTCATTTGCAGCTACCCAAGTCGGCTAGGTCGCGAGCTACAATACCCCGATCTTACGAAAGCGGTAGTTCCCGGCCGCCAAACTCAGGATCCCCTCTGATCAGTGCTAGGGACTGCTGAGTATCCGTCTTTTGTTGGGTGGTGTTTCGAGGTCTAAGTCCACTTACGGACCTCGGCCCACCCCAGCAGGGGGCAGGCCGGGAATTGGTCGAGTTTATTTGTGTGTGTGGGAGAGGACGGTACGGACGACGACCGTCGGTTGCCCGCCGCAGATTCGCCGACGAGTATCTTATCATCATGGATGAAACTCACATTGTAGACTGATGCTGTGCACCTACCTGTATGTAATGTACACGACAAACTGCGAAAGACAAACAACAGAAGCAACAGGTTTGTTGGCGTGCCCGTACATAATGTCGGTACACTCTCGACACAACATTAGATACAGCAGTATATATACGACTGTAGACTGAAGTAAGTGTACGACGAGGAGGAGCACGGAGAAGAAGCACGTTGATAATGTTGTCGATGATGAGCTCACTCACGTCACGGACGTAATTCGTGTTCACCAACGGGTCGATTCATTCTGTAGCAATCACAGGTTGGACGGTCCTCTCTCTCACAAAAGTTCAACGGAGATGATTGATGGTGTTTCTATCAGTGGCTTCCGACGACGACACACGACCGGTACATTTTCATGCGGGCGATGATGGTGCCCGAACAAGCAATGAACTACCGGACGAACGAGACGATTTTTATATGCATGCAACGAAGAAGTCCGCATTCTGTGGTACTGCTGGTATGAAGTACATGTAGTCCTGGGAGACAATTCACGATGAACATTCACGACGCAACAGACACGTGGGAAAGCTACATCGATAAAACATGTACATTCTGGGGAGATAGATGCACTCTCTCTCCACGTGGCTCCCGCTCCCTTTCCTTGTCCCCTGTGGCTCGGCGTTTTCAGCGATAGAGCCAGCAAAGACTTACCTACAGAGCTTCCTTGACAATCAGGAAACAATGTGGGTCCAGTGGCATCATCAACCAACCGCTCATTGTGGGGGATTGAGATTTCCAGCAGATTCGTTGCGCGATATGATCCCAGGATTTCGAAAGTTCAGTCGTGATTGCAAAAAACATACATACAGATAGATGCACAGGACGGCTACAAAACTGTCTTGTTGAGCCTGTTGCCCACAGGGGAGATATCGCTGTGTGCTGCTCGGGAAACCGTGGAAAACAAGTAGCTTTCTCTGACGCTATGAATTCATCTTGCTAATCTATCTTTGACTGTTTTGAGACATGGATTCGTTGGGTCATATTATTCAGAAAAAAAAAAACATATCGCAAGGGCTGTAATGTACCACCTTCGGGTACCGTCCTCGATCGGGGCGTGTTGAAACCCTCTGAAACGTGAAGATTCCTCTCAGTGATGGCTCACGGATGGATGCAGGGCTCGGCTCGGTTGTGTCCCAAGGTGGTTAAAACGTTAAAACAATATTGTCCGATGGATGAGGGCCAAAAACCTGTGAATGTTTTTTTTTTTTCGAGGGTTCCAGACGGTCGTGCGCTGTACCACATTTATTGGCTGTGATTCCAGGATTTCAATTGGGGTACTGTACTATTTTTCCGAGCGACCGAGCGACCAGTACCATTCCAGCGCTCGCTCTCAACCCTCCCTCTCACTTACCCAGGAGACGCTGCTGGGCAGCTAGGGCCAACGGTAATCTCTCCTTTCGTGCTGCACCCTGCACGCACGCTTGAGCACACGCGTGTGTGGAATCCCACCGTGGCACCTCTCTCTCTCTACCTCTACTGCTGCTGTACCAAAGGGAAAAATGCCGCAATTTGGCCGCCGGCTCTCGGCATCATCTACTCCGGCGGCGAGACGAAGTGCAATCGCTGCAACCCGTCGCTCGTCGGCCTTTTGCCAACAACGACTTCCAGCCGAATACCGAGACGGCGCCCAAGATCCTTCCGGTGCTGCTGCTGCCACCGCCGAGGAGGATTTCAAGCGCCCCCGCGCCGTGTCGCCATCTGCTCTTCCCCCCAGCGGGCCTGAAGTGGACGACCTTGTTGCTGCTGCTGCTGCTGCTGCTGCCTCCAAGGAGCCTGCGGCGGCGACCGTTCTTGCTGGTCCTGGGCGCTGTATCTGCTCCTCCCCGCCCCGCTTGATGGAGAAGGTTGTTCCGGGAGCCCGGGAGGAGAACCGGCAGGGCGTTGGTTCCAGGGGCTATGTCCGGGCTCGGGCGCTGTGCTTTCAGCCGGAGGAGCAGAAGGAGCGGGAGGTGGAGGATCAGATCATCTGTGTAAGTTGTGACTTTTTCTTTTTTTTGATCTGCTGGTTTCTGGTTGACCCCTCATGTCGTGTGGTGGCCCCTTGGTCCTGCTGCCTGCTGCGCCATGGGGTGTGCGTTGGGGTAGTTTGCGCGACAGCATCGTGCCGGTTATCACGCGTCTTGTCTTGCCCCAAGCCGCCTCTCTCTCTCTCTCTCTGTAGAGGGCCTTCGTTGCCGGCGGCCGTGCCTGTACGTTGGCAACAGGAGGTTGCCCGCCGGAAAACTGGGGGCGGAGTATATTTTGTCTGGAAATGTGAAGATAAGATAAGACCGTGAAGATCTTTTTGCACACACATCACACACACATGGCACCAGGGGCCAGCGGAGGGACGCGAGAATATGCTAAATACCCCTTCCAGCGTACAACAGTACCCACATCCCTCATGGCAATAAGCTTTGCGCTCAGCCGGTGGACTTCTGCTGTACCTATCTCTTCAAGCCCTACTGCTGTAGCTACACGCCCCGATCTTATCTGGGTCCGACGTCCGCCGACGGCGGTTGATTGATCTTCTCCGCCGTTCTTTTATATTCGTGTGTGTGTGTGTGTGTTTCAGCAGCAGCAGCATGAAAACAAGCGATTCTTTGGATGTAGCGTCAAGACGGCGCATTGCGACGGACAGCAGCAGCAGCGCAAAGGAGGAGCCGCCCCGCTGCTGCGGAACAACTCCAGCGTGTCGTCCACCATGTCGGAGCCCGTGGATATCCCGGGGGCGAGAAGCACCAGCAGCAGCGTCGAGAGCGGCGGCGGTGCCGGCGCCGATGAGGTAAACTATAAAGAAACTAAGCAGAAAGCGATTTGATTTCGTGACCCGCTGTAGTTACTTGCTGCGCCGGCTATTTTCCTTCTTTCAATTTGTTCTTGGGACCACATCTTTCCCACGACCAGGTGTGTAGCTCACAGAGGAAGACGGGCGCGCGTACCCGCTCTTTTTTTATGTTGTGCGGCTTCCGCGCGAGCGAGCAATAGTTGTTGATTGTGGATACCATTTGCTGGCGATACCGCTCTATGTGTACCGCTGCCTGCTGCTGCTGCTGCTGCTGTAATCAGGGTTTTTTTCTTCCACAAGACTTAGACTAGTGCCTTTATTTCGGGATTGGACGTTTTCAGCACCGGGACAATATCCATGCTCCGTATTCAGCAGTACAGCAGTGGTCCACGTGTGTACAAGGGGTCCACGTGTAGACTACATATTAATATGTCCCCGCATACACACACGCGCGCGCGAAACGTCCCGCCGAACCCTCGCGAGCGTACAAAAACTTGAAGACAACGTTCATTGTTCTCGATCACGGTATGTACACCAGTTATCAGTCGGTGGACGTGTACTATAATATGTAGTATGTGGGCACGGGTAGTTGACGGCTAACGCGACCGACCCGGGTCTTTTTTCTCATTGTTTCCCCCCCCCGTCACCAGGGGAGGGGTTATCGCAAGAATATTCTCGACCAAACCAGAAAAGTTACCGGAATGGTTTTTCTCAGATAAGCAACCAACAAGCAGTTTATTTGGATAACAAGCAGAGTGTAGTTGGTGCAGACTCATCAGCTTGATTGTGCAAGATGACCACTCTTCTTTCATGTTGTTGTTGTTGTTGAGTCGTGATGATTGGCTACAACAAGCTCTTGACTAAGTGCTTGGCGTGATGCAATAAGGTGGGGGCCACCCATCCATCCATGCGCTCGGTACACCATATGCGCATCGGATCACACCCGGGTCACGGAACGATATTCAACTCGGACGTCGGGCACATGTTACCTATGTAATTCCCCGCGTTTTTCGGTCGCCCCCTCTCTCCGGGGGCTGGCTGCGTTGGGTGGGTTCGTACTCCGCAAACCACCAAGAAACGATACAAGGAAAAATAAACATGCTTCGTTAACTTCAATAGGGAGAGAAGCTTGACCAATTTGCAAGGATTGCTTCGCTGCTAAGTATTAGTATTTGGGCGTGTCTCAACAACAACCAAAGAAGTTCCCCTGGCAATACACGATTCTTCGGAGCACAAAATAAACAGTTAGTTGAGACCACCACGGCTACGACTTAAGATCAAGAGCAGCGCGTGGCTGCATCCGGACCATGCGTTTTTCACAACATGGCAATGGTAAGTTTGGACCCCCAGCGTTGGTTGCTGATAGGCTGGCTGCCCTTACATACAAGGAGCATTTGCAACAACAACGCGTGGCTTCATGTGGCGCATGATTTGCCACAAACAAATGCTGATTGGCATGGATCCCAGGTTGGTTGCTTGCAGGTGTTGTCAGTACAACCGGACCAACTAACGACAACAACGGTTCGTTGTGGTTTTCTGCTGTTCGTTCCCACGAGCGCCCCACGTGGTTTGCTGGTGTTGCAGCACACCAAAATGCTAGACGAATTTAGAACCTAATACCCTTGTACCAGGTACTCATTTTTCCGCCTTTATTTCGCCTGGTCGTTCTACCCTCCTCCTCGTGTTACTGCCGTTTCTGTGAACAAAAAACGAAAATCCGCAGGAGAACCACGGAAACCTAGCCCCCCCCCCGGCGCGCGCAGCCACGCGATCAAGCGCTGTTTGGTCTGCCTTCCACGCGTCCCCACGACCTCCCCCTAGTTTACGCCGTGCCTTGTCCACGTGGAATCACCCACCATACGGAGGATCTTTGACCCTCCTTTCATAGGAGAGACGTTGTATGCTTTTCCGAAGGGCCCATGTTCGGTTGTCACCACGCGGACTGCGATCATCACACACAACCTACAGTACACCCATATAGTATGCATATCCCCCCCCCCCTAACCCTATCCTTCGCGCCGCCGTCTCCTCCCCCTCGCCGCGTTTGGTCGGCCGCGCAATGCATCGAACAAAAAAAAAACGCACGCAGGAGGGATGGGTCTCGCTGTGGAACACGTACACCAGGCTATTCCCCGGGACCTTCACCGGATGCAGCCCCCCCGGGTCCGCGCCCCCTCTCGACTCCCCCCTGTACGCCGCTTCCCCGCCGCCGCCGCCGCCGATGAACGCCTACCCGAGTAGGAGGAACAAGGCTTCGGGTATGGCAGGAACACCGGACGTCCGCGGCGGCGGCCTGTTGCCGGCGGCGAGGGCAAGCGACGGGTATCCGTTGCCCCCGGTGACGCCCGAGAGCAGCAGCGGCAGCCGTCTCCCGACAACGGCGACGGTGCGCCGCCGCCCCCGCTACCAGCGCCGCCCTTCGACGGTGGCAGTGCCGACGAGCCCCGGCGGCGGCGGCGGCGGCGGCGACGCGTCCCGGCCGGGAGGAAACGATTCCGCCGCCGCCGATGCCGCCACCGGCGGCGGCTGCGCGAGAACGGACCCGGGTCCTTCCCGTCCGGCATCATCTACACCACGACCCGACGGCCGGTCCTCTTGCCGCCGGTATCAGCAGCCGGGGGAGGAAGAGGTGGTCGGACATGGCGACGAAATGCTGCTAGACGACGATGACGACGGCGACGACGACGTCGGGGTGCCACCTCGGGGTTGCTCCTGGGGACAGCTCTCCCGGATGCCGCTTGAGGAGGCGGGGCGGAAGCTCGGCACGTTCTCGGCAAAGGGCTTCTCGACCGGCGGCGGCGGCGGCGGCGGTGGCGGCGACGGAAGAGGTTACCTTGACGTTAGCGACTGCGAAGAGGGCGGCGGCGGCGGCGGCTGCGCTGCTGGCAGCTTCGAAGACGACTTGGGCGATAATTCTGATGCGGACCTTGAACTGTCGGAAGGGCTCATGTTCGACCTTGAGATGTAGTGCTCGTGGTGGGCTGTTCCGGGCGAGGGTCTCGCACTCGTTAGTTACTTGGCATCCGATCAGTAAGTTGGGTAAAAACGGTTATGGGAGCGGGGTTGGAAGAAGTCCAAGGTCATCGGGGTGCAATAGCCGCGGGTTGGATTAGTCGCACGGCAACCCGAAACGGGTGTGCAGGCGCCAACGTCTTACGCGTTTAGAGGTTTGAATCGCTGCGTTCGGCGCTGTTACCTTCACCTTTACCGATAAGCACCAGTTTCGGGTGCCTCGTCTGCGTGACGCGACGTGCGGTTGGCACAATTTCTTTTCTAATTTTCCTGTCGGCTTTTCTTTTGTATGCTTATTTTTTTTAGCGGGCCATCCTCCGTGTTTCGTGACTTATTTTACACCCCATGGTACGCAGGACCTGGGGTCGTCATTTTATCACGGCTGATGCTAGCCACGCGCTCTTGATCGTTGGTTTTTATGTTTTTATTGTTCTTCTTGACCGTCCGGTCAGGTAAGTAGGTAGGCAGCGGGGGGCTCCGAAGGGAGCGCCGCCGCTTGTCCACCCCCCCCGTCTTCGCCCTGGGGGAGAGGAGTTGATGTATACGTTGGGTTTCGATGTTGTGAGGAGGGAGGGGGGGGGGCAAGGGAGTCGCGACCCTTTCGGTGGATGGAGGGATGGCTCTGTCTGTGGTGTTGGGTCTTGTCGTTTCGGGAGATGTGTGCGTACGATATTTTTTTCGTTTTTTTTTTTTCTCCCCGCGCGAAGATGCCGTTGCTGCTGCTGGCTGGTTCTCGTAAACTCTCACGAAGAGATTTAAAAAGATAAGCTGGTTGTACCCGGTATTGGGGAGGGCAGCGCTGTGGTGTGTGTACGTGTGTGTGTGAGGTGAGTGTGTGCTCGACCGCCTCTCCTCGGTAGACTGTTGTTTTATGGTTGTGGATGCATTCTGCACGTTACGTCTGTCTGCCGCTGCCGCTGAAGCCCGTGCTGCGGCAGGCGGCGGCGGGTCCACCCACGAGACGCGAGGGTAAGGAAACAGTCAAACCCCACACCGTAGCGCTTGTAGGGGGCGAGGGTCATTAGTTCGTTTACGAACGGTTTGTAGTGAAAAGAAAACTATTTTGCGGTCATCATTTGTTTTCGCACGGGTGTTTCGACAGCAAGCAGCCGTGTTGGTGTGCGTGTTGGTGTTCGGTGTGTGTTGGTTTCGTTGCAGGACACGGGTTAGTTGCAAAGAGGACGGCGCGGGTTGTGGATGGTGGGCGAACAAGATTTCAAGGAGACGCAACGTTGCCCGAGTCTGGAGCAATTCTCCCCGTGGCTAGTGGGGTTCGAGCGAAAGACTGAGGTGTAGAGTCCGTGTCAGTGTTTGTTTTGTTTTCGTTGCTGTTGCTGTTGTTGTTGTGTTGCTGCTGCTGTTTGTTGCTATCGCTAACTGTTGTTTGTACACGACGTCCATGATCCACACTGTTTTTTCTTATTGGTAACTGTTTTTTTAGACTCCGGGTGTTGTTCCATCCTCCAAAGTGTGTCTTCTGTCTGTCTTTTTTGCTTTGTTTTCCAGTTTTTTTTTTTTGTCGCCACCTTGTTTTTCGACGTGATTGTTGCCGCACTCCGTGGTTGTCTTCCACTTGTTTCCCGAACGCTTGATGGACTGATTGGTTGGTTGGGTGTGTGCTTGGCAGGTCGCGCTCTCGGTTGCAGAGCTCTCGTACGCCACTGGTTGGGGGGGGAAACATGGCAGATCGGTCACCGAAAATACTAGGTCTCGTTTTTTTCCGTACGCGCCAGCCACCTCTCAAGAAGCTCTTGTTTTTTCCCGAGGCAGGCTCGTTTCTTATTGCTGGAACTGTGTTTTGTGTGTCTGGTATTCCAACGTCGACTAAATGGATTTTTTTGCGTAGGAATCCCTATCTGAGCGACTGTTCTTACGGTCAAGTTCGTAAATGTTTTTCCTTTTGTGGAACCTGGATCCCTTATCCCCCAGGTTCTCAATGTGGTCGGCGAGAGAGTACCGCCATATGCTCTTCTTCTTTTTGCGCTCGAGGCGCGTATGCAAGCGCGTATGGGGGATGGGTTGGGCGTGTTTAGTTGCCAGCGAAAACGGTACTTGACGGTTCGGCTGCAGGGCGAGGAGATTTCGTTCTGCGGTAAGGTATTGTATGTATGCAGGTGGCACTCAAGAATGGTTTCTTCGTCCCGTACCGGGGGATATTTGGTGCGAAGGGGTGTATGGCACGTACACACAGCTGTAGGTCGGGATTGGTGGAGCTACGTGTGGCGGTGGGCGTCGTCTTTCAGTGCTGGAAGCTTTTCTCGCGGTTGGTTGCTTTACCCTGAGCCCGCTGGCCGCTTATGGCGTGCTCGGTGGGCCGTGAGAGGGGCTACAGCAGAGTCATCCCCGTTTGGTGGTGGTGGCGGTGCGGTTTGCGGTATGATATCGGAAAGGCTCTGGCTTCTCTTTTGTGGGGCACTAGTCAGCGGTTTGTCCTGGCCTACCGGTGTGGCTCCTCCAAAAGAAGACCCCCGTGCCCACGAAAACCCCCACCATGCTCTTTCCGATACTGATTGGTAGTGCAAGACTTGTCTCCTGCTTGGAGTTTCTGGTAATTATAGTCGTGGGTGGCAGTGACACGGTTTTCATGTCCGCTCCACAAAACAGCTGTGTTGCCGGGTTATCGTTTCCCTCCAAAGGCTACTACGTGCTGTTCGGCTTTGGTGGTCGTCCAAGCGATGCGCCTTGGTCGGGCTGTTTTCGGGGTGCGCTCTCTTTTGCCTGGTTATTTGTGCGGGGGGGGGTTTGTGGTAATGGGGGACCATGGAAGAATAAATACGGTGGTGATGGAAGAGAGCGAGCGGGTTGACGGTCCTAACATTCCACGCACTGCAAGTACATAGTTCAGGACTGGTGCTGCTGTGTTTCGGGAGGCGAAGCGATGAACCGAGTCGAGGAACAAAGGCAGTGAACAAATAATAAATGCCGTGCATGCCGTGTGTTCCTTGCGGTCACTCCATCGTGTACCTCATGTCGCCCATGCTAAGCTTAGGTTTGACCCACACTAATTAATGCACCCTGGCTCGTGAGTGTTGTTGTACTTTGGTATAATGCTGCATTTTGGAATGAAGGGAGGGAATTAACAAAGAAAAAATAGCGAAGAACGCTGGCGTAAGAGAAAGGTTGTTGATGTGCCAATCCTCCTATGATATAAATAGCTCCGCGCACGAGACGAAAACAAGAAAAAACACTGGCTTGTGAAAGTTTATACTGTGTTTTGTTTGGCCTGTTGTTGCCATCAACCTCATCGCTCGCTGTGGTTGGCTTGTTTTCCGGAGTTATGTTGATTGAGGGTTTGGTTAGTTATGTAACCGTGGTAAACCGCGGCAAGGGGGGGTCATAAAAAGAGGAATGAATGATGATTCGCGGAATATATTAGTGTTTGTGCCTACTTCATTGTGGATGCAAAAAAAAAACGAAGTTCTAGGGGTGGTGGGGGGCAGGCAGTGGAGCTAGCTATGGAACGGGGGATAGTGAAGGGATGTTTGTGTCGTATCGACGAGGCATGGCTCTGCCGTCGGTGTATTGCTGGCGGTTCATTTAAGAATGTGCCGCCACGTTGGATGATGTTTTTTGTGCTTGAGGTGGACGACAAGAATTATCATGGACACTTTATTTTTCAACTATTCTTTTTCTTCTCTCACTACTATGCTGCTGTGCACACCTAGATTGCCGTGGGCCACGGCTTCTTCCTCCCCAATTGAAACGTTCGTTTTGATTGGTTTTATCGTCTTCATTTCATTCCAAAAGCCGGAACAAGGAGCTCTAGTAGCATCGGAAGAGAAAGAAAACGAACGTCGTAGGTGCATACGTCCTCACTGCTGTTCTTATGAGCCACCGGGGCGAGAGGCACGTTCCGGTGCACAAGAAAACGGGCCCCGAACAGCTCACACTCGACAATCTCAGTGACATGTAGACAGGCGTATCTGTGCCCTCGAGGGCTGACGATGCCTGGTTCTCTTGTTGCGTTGCCGGCAAACCAGCCGGGTGTCTGGCCGCTTCGTTCGACATTTTTCTCAACTCTCCGTCGCCACCCCCTGCCTGAAATATGACTTGGTTTTTGTGTAAGCGCTCATACGTGCATGACTTGATATTTTAGAACATCTCAGTTTCTGGGGCAAGGTTTCTGTCACAAAAACGATAAAAAAACGTCTGGTGAGACTAGATTTCTGTCACACAAAATGAGTGTCGGTTTGTTGGTGACAGCAGAAACCCAAGATGCGATTGGGGAAAAGGCGGCGGCGATGTTTCGAAGCGTTTTAATGCTCTTTAAGCATTTGAACCCGAACTACAACCAAAGAGTAGTGCAGCACAATGTAAGTGCAAAGAGACCGGCCGCGTATCGACGGATGGGAAATTTTTCATACGTCGGTCCAACTCGGGGTTTCAAAGCCCGTGCGCACTGCTGTATTGAAGAAATAGGAAAATGTCCGCAAGAGGCGACGTTCTCCTGGCCCCACCGTCCCACCCCTCCCTCCCGCCTTTCTGCCATCCTAATGGTAAACTAAATATAACACCCACCCAACGTTTGTTTGCAGGGATCCCTATTGCCACACAAGAATTCCGCCCTAAACACACAATCTCCACAACATCCCCGTCCCCTCTTCGCCGACATCCATTTACAACAGGTGAGGCCTGTGCTCTCAGACAATGATGCCGAAAAGTAACATACAGAACTTGACTCGTCGCACCGCCCCCCAATTTCCAAATAACGCAAAAAGTGAATGATATCGTTCGTTTGCTGTGAAATTCAAGAGAAAAATAAAGACACGAAACGCGTAAACCAGACCCTTTCCATGCAAGTTGGCAAGAGCACCTTTGATCCCATCGGGGCAAAAAATCAAACTCGAGGGGGGTAACAAAACACCAAGGCATAATTTTTCTAGGGTTGCAACGGAGGGCGACAGCACCACGGGGAAATGCGAACCCACGCAAGGGGCTAGGTCGGCGTACGCCGACAGAGCTATCGGGCCGCTCAAAACACACCTGCGCCGCCCCGCCCCTCGAGCGCACCCAAAACTTCGACTGCTGTACACAAATATTTCCGCCTCAAAAGTAAACTCCCCACAGCAACACTCCACATCACCTCCCGTACGATCTATGTCGTCGGGCCCGCATCGAGACGACCACACGGAAAAAGTCAAAGTTGAGCTCTCGTACATGTGTGCAGAAACGAGTCAACCCGGAAGCACACCAAAACACTGTGATCTGTCTGCTATTTCTATGGTGTCATCACCGCCATCATAGCGCAGAGGAAACACAAAAAAATCACCGCTCTCCGCGTGGGGTAGGCGCCACAACATGCCGAAGCAGCAGCAGCAGCAGCAGCAGCAGCAGCAGCAGCGGCAGCAACAGCCCGTTCTATACATGGACACGGTACGCAGCCTGCCTTCCAGCCGCTACGAGGACGACCCCTCCTCCTCCTCCTCCTCCTCCACCACCACCTCCTCCTCCTCCTCCCCCCCCTCTCATCCCCCCCTTACTCCTTCCTCTTTTCC